TGTTATTCAACCAAAGACATTTGATGCTTGAGATGTGTTAGCAAATGAACATTCATCTAGACATAGAGCTTGTTTAGAATCGTATCTAGGCCTAAGGCAGACAGTTTAATTGATAGCTTGCCATCTTAGTTTGAAACCTGATCACCCAAGGTCTAAATCCCAATACCCATGAGTTCTCCTTCCCAATAGTTTAAAAGTAACATTTTTGTTATTTGCATTCTAGTTTTAGTTAACTTCAAAACCAACCAAACATTCGATTGCACTTAGATTAAGTTAGTACTTGCATTCTCGGTGCTTTTAAATCCCTCAGAACTGGTTCGACAACTTCACTATACAACATTTGACTAGGAGCCTTGAAAACTCCTAACATCACCATCTACAAAACATAGGTGAGTAAGATCTATGTTTTTGTAGCGTGGATGATATCATATCCTTCTCTCTATAACTGCTTCATCTATTATTTTTGACAACACATTCATGCTGCTAACAAATAGATACGTAGAGAGTGAACACCCCTGCCTTAAGCCTCTCTTGCTCTAAAAGTAACCAGCAGTCAATTCACCATTCACTTGCACCGAAAAGAAAGCAGTTGTTACACACAAAGAAATCCAATGAATACATTTATCCGACAACCCCATTGCCTTCAAAGTATTAATAAGAAATGGTCATTGCACTGAGCCAAGTTCTTTAGAGATGTCTAGGAGAAATGGAATTCTTGTGATAATCTTTAGCTAATTCAATGGCTAGAATAACATTCTCAGTCAACAATCCCTATCCCTCTTGACAAATGCAGATTGATTCAGCGTAATAAACTTAGGTAGAATATTTCTTAGCTTATTTGCCAATAGTTTAGAAATGATCTTATAACGGACATTGCAGCAGATAATGTGTATGTAATCTTTCATTTCTTTTTCTTTTTTCGGTATTAAGGTTAAAATGGTTAAATTTAACCTTTTGGTAAAAATTCTTTGATGAAAAATGATTGCACTGCCACAATAATATCATCCCCAATCACAACCCAAAACTCTTTGAAGAACTATGATGTGAATCCATCTGGACCCGACAACTTATTCCCTAGCATTTTGAATAATATATCTTTTATTTCCTCCTTAATTACTTCCTTTACCAAACTATTACCATCATCTTCACCGCAAGTAAATCCCAATAACTCTTCTAACCTCCTAATTGTAACACCTTCAAATCCTACTGGTTGCATAAATTCTGCCAAAAAAAAAAAAGTTCCGCCTCTTTCTTTTATCTCCTTTTTTGTAGATATATTTGCATTAGCACATATAATTTCATTTATAGTATTTCTCATTTCTCGTATCTTTACAGCACTATGAAAGAATTTTTTATTTCCATCTCATATTTGAAACCAATGCATCTTTAACCTCTGCTTTAAGAACCTTATCTTCGAGAGGAAGATGACAATAGTATAACCGATTGAAAGAAAAGTGAAATGGAATAAAACAGAAGTCAATTTGGGTATAATATATCATATAATAACTAAATTATTCAATTATATCAACTAAAAATAAATAAAAAGATATTCACATTATAAGACTGTAATCTAATAAATCTTATTATATCTTTGAAAATATAAATATATCATTTCCAAAATTATTAACTTTATAAATATCCGAAATGTTAAATCCCCCTATACATTAAAAGAGAAGTCACTTGGACACGTGGCACTCATACAAGCCTTCTCAGAGAAATTCTGAGAATCTGATTGGTTGATTAAATTTAATTTTCTTTTTAATTTATTTTTTGTTTGGCGTGAAAGTGTTAGGATTTCTATATGAGAATCGTATCTCTAAAATTTAATGTAGGTTATTTACTTTCCTTACCTTATATTCGATAACTTGTGTGAGAAGTTGAAAATTCAATGCCAAATATATCAATCTCATACCATTAGGAAAGCTTGACAATATATATACGATGTCCCTTCTTTGAATCTCAGACATTCATCAAAATCTTCGTTACAGCTTCTCCTTCTTCCAAAGATTAATCAAAAAGGTCTGTCTTTTTTAATTTCTAAGTTAGGGTTCTTGATGTAGCAATAGATCGGATGTTAATCTTTGGAAGCAATACGAAGGTATGAGATTGATGAATGTCTGAGAACAAGAAGGTAGTTTATTCAGTCTTCTCTTTATGATTCGCCGAAACTTTGAATTTCGGATATTAGAAATTAGATTTGGTTTTATCATAGTAATTAGATCTTCATAATTATTATCTAAAAATGGTGAATCTAATAATGATCTGTTTTGATGACCTGTTGTTTGTTATTGCTATCTTTATGTTCATGTTGCTGAAAAGATTGTTAGATTTATTTTACTAATCATTTTTCATTAAACTGTGATCCTTTTAACCGCTCTATCTAGTGATAGAAGAAGCCATAACTTTAGGTAGTGATAAAAACATAGTGAAATGAAATCTGAACCTGTGAACAGAGTTACACAGTTACTTGGACCTGTCATTGATCTCTCTAGGCTTTCTCTTCTGTGATTGTTGTTTGGTTATGATGGTCTTTGTTTGTTGTTTGTGCTATCTTTAGTTCATGGAAGATGTTAGGTTTGTTTTACTAACATGACAATCACTCCCAAATTCTTGGAGTAGCATTGTACAGCAATATCCCATAGCTTTATGTAGTGATAGAGAAGCCAATCGTTTCATCGTACTTCTAATGGTCTAGATATCTGTGTATACACAATTATTTGACCTGTCATTGGTCTCTCTAGGCTTTCTCTTTTGTAATTATTGTTTGATTGTGGGATTTTTTTTATGTTCTTTTGGTTTCTTTTTTTTTCTTCGTAGCCTGCGTCTGGGACTCTAATTAACGGAAAGGGAGTAGTTATTTGCAAGTATCCATCTGATCCAACTGTTGCCTTGGGTTACCTTTCTGCTGCCTTTCTCCTTGCTTGCACCGTAGCTGGATACAAATCCTTGTTCATGTCTTACAAGGGAAAGTCTGTCCCCAACTCTGTCTTGTTCAAAAGCACCAGTTTCTTTGTCTTCTTCAACATTGCCTTGTAAGCATTATTCTCTTTCAGTCATTGATTCAATACATAGGTGTGGTGTAGATTTTTTTATTATATTAGTTGAGTTGTTTGTGGGCCTATGATTTTGTCTTGTAGGATCACATCTGGACTGGCACTGTCTCTATTGCTATGGCCAACCATTACAGAGCAACTTCACTTGACGCGTAATGTTCATCGGAACTTAGAGACCAGTTGTCCCACGGGTCTGCTTGGTGGAGGTGCCTTTGTGTCATTGGACTCGTGTCTTTTCTGGTTGGTCGCTCTGATGCTCGCTGATAACGCAAGTGAAGACCATTTTGATGAAAGTGAGGACAGGAACGTCAATGGGAACTCTTCCTCTAGGGATGTTAATCTCAAGATTGATGCTTGAGAGAATAATCTGCATCTGTTTATTGGTATTGGGTATTAATAAATGGTTTTTACCCTTATTTTATTCCTTATTGGATAGTAAATTAACTATTTGTTTCTTCTGGTTTTCTTCTATGTTCTTAATAATATTTGATTTTTAAAGATTAGATGAATTGTTACTGAACTTGATGCATTGTCATTTTGAAGTTGTATATTATATTTACGCTGATTCTTGATTAACTATATTGATTTTTTTTTTTGAAGTTGTATATATCTACTCTGATTCTTGATTAACTATTTTATTGATTTTGTTTTTGAAGTTGTATATATCTACTCTGATTCTTGATTAACTATTTTATTGACTTTGTTTTTTCTGCTTATATTAAAAACAGTTTGATATCTATTAATTTTCTTTGAAAACATGGGATATTTTATGTTATAAATCCCCTATATATTAATTGAGAAACATTTGAAAAGATGTAACCTCAAGTTTGTAATAATTAAAAAGTAACATTGCTTAGTTGTCAATCAATTAGCATACCAATTAAACTGACGTGGCACCTTTAGGTTCAACTGAAATTTGCTAGGAAAACAATAATTACAGACGCATGTAACGCATGTAACCGAGTTTACATTAATATATATCCCACGCATTAAACCGAGTTTACATTATTTTTTTTCCATAAATAAAATCTACGGAATTACCATAAATGACTAATATATATATATATATATGACACTTAATGATTGATCCCCTAGATATAATTACTATTTTATTTTCTTTCCATAAATAAAACGTACGGATTTACCATAAATGACTAATATATATATATATATATGACACTTAATGATTCTAATAATAAATATTTGATAACAGTTTATATATCCTCCATCATTTTTCTTGAATTTTACATTATTAAAATAAATTAAACAATCAAATTAGCTATAAAATTAAATTTTAGATTTTTTCGTATAGGTTATATTTTGAATTTTAAAAAATGAGAATAAATAACTAAACTATTAAAATTATTATGTTAAAAACTAATGATCAATAGTTTAAAATTTTTATTATAAAAAGATATACATGATTTTAAAACTATATAAGTAAAAAGTATCATTCAATAATAAAACAAATATATATACAGATTAAACTATATACCATATAAGATTAGATAAATATTTTAATTTCAAAGTTTTCAATAAATTTTCAAGAACATTTATAAATTATAAACTTAATCAATNATACAGATTAAACTATATACCATATAAGATTAGATAAATATTTTAATTTCAAAGTTTTCAATAAATTTTCAAGAACATTTATAAATTATAAACTTAATCAATTTTTCACATTGAAAATTTTTGTTATCAATGATTTTAATATCTTAGTTCTTTTTTTAATTTTATATTTTTAAAAGATATTAACAATTGATAATATGGTCATTTTTGGTATATACCATCCAAACCGAATGGATGTGATTTTATAAAAACCATAGGATTTGAATATGGTTTGATTTATAACCGATTAAACTGAAACATGTAAATATGTATATATTTATAACGACGCATGAATATTTATTTGTTACATGAGTTGAACTATAATTATAATTTGTAAATAGCTAACAATTTATTACAATTGAGACATCTTATTTTGATCTTTTGCTTTTTTAACAGTAACTAAATTGAAGTAAAGATTATAAATTTGATGGACAACAATTAGTTGAAATTCTTTACAACTTTTTTTTATCTTTAAACAAACAGAGTTGTGTTCAATCGAAGACATATTGGTTTGATGAACACTAAATATGGAAGAATATAAAAAAATTTCTTTCATGCTTCTGTTGTATTTTTTATTTTTATTTTCAAAATTTAGTGTTTTGATATTAATTCTAGATTTGATCATTTTATTAGATGACAGAAGCCTTTTTTTTGTTTTTTATTCTTTTATTTAAATATATAATATTTTTTTAATAAATGACTCTGTGACAATATGACTGTAAATATGATCATATTATATATTTGTATAATATATAATATGATCTCAAACTAAATAATTATGTTTTTTGGTATAAAATTGAATAAACTGAAAACCGATGGTATATAAACCAAATCAAACTGAAGTACATATAGATTTAGAGTAGTTGTTATATTTTAATGATCGAAATACTAAAAAATCGAGCAGAACCGAAACCCGATATCCGGATTGAACACCTCTAATCCGAATGAAACCGAACTATTGTTTCATTTTTCAAAACATAATAGAAATAATAGTTTCATCCCGCGCAAGGCGCGGGTCTTATCCTAGTATTGCAATATTTTGGAAACCATATCAGCCTAACCAATCAAAAACGGGTTGTCCATAACTTGACTAAGGAACATTTAATTTTAAATACGAAAATTATATTTCTTCCGTTTTATTTTAGTTGTCATTCTAGATTTTTACACACAGATTAAAAAACATTTATTTTTACATATTTTCAAGATAAAAACACAATAGCTATACACCTAACCACTAATCAACCAATAGAAAAATAGAATCATAACTAACACTAATAAATGTTGTTTAGAAACTCTAAAATGACACTTAATTTGTGACAAAAAATTCAACCTAGAATAAAAAATATTATGAAATGAAGGGAGTAAGTTTTATTCCCACGTCTCATCTAAATATTATATGTTTCTAACTTTTCCATTACTATAAGATTTGAAATTTTGTTGTAAGAAAAAAGATATATGGTGATTGAATGTTAATCTTATGTATGTCAATAATTTAAATTCACATAAAATTCTTTTATTTTTCTTGAAGGATATAGTATAAATACAAATATAATATACAATAAAATTTAAAAAATCCGTTAAACGGGTCAGACCAGTCAACCAATATATATACTGAGTCGATCTTCAGTTGGGTTTTAAAAATAATTAGGGAATAACATGATAAATGTTTTGTTATAAATTAATAGTTTTATATTACTATTTACTAACGTGTGTATGATAAATGTTTTGTTATAAATTAATAGTTTTATATTACTATTTACTAACGTGTGTATAAATAGTACGAATGATTAATATTCCCTTCATTTCAGAATATTTGTCATTCTAGGTTTAATTTTTATCATAAATTAAGTGTCATTTTAGAGTTTCGAGGAAAAATTTATTAGTTTTATATAATATTTTATTTTTCTAATGGTTGAAAAATGGTTAGGTATATATGTAATTGTGTTTTTATTTTGAAAATATGTAAAATTAAATGTTTCTTTAATCTGTGTGGAAAAACCTAGAATGACAACTAAAATGAAACAGAGAGAATATTTCATTAATATTTTATAGAACTATACAATTGTAGTGGTATTAAGTTAATAATTTTGCTAAAAACTAAATGGTGAAGTTTATAGATTGCGGCCAACTACATTAAGCTATTAATTTTGTAAAATAATAACATTCCTTTTAATATGGAATTTGAGAAATATTGTTGATCAAACATATCTAGGTATCGTGATTTTTGCATATATCTTGGATTCACTATTACAGTAACTAAATTATAGCAATTGAAGTTTGTTTAAACGTTGTATGAAAGATTTTTTTAAATAAAAATATTTTCTGTTGTTTAAATAAAATAAAATTCAATAATACATAATTTAAGTAAAAGCATATGTTTTAAATAAATCAGTGGCACTGGCATGTAAATAATTTTAAGAAAATGAAACCTCAAAAGAAAAAAAAACTTTTTGTTTTAATAGTATAGATTACGTGTCGGGATATATGTTAATAACAATCAAAATAAATTTTAAAAATCACTTTTAATTAGATTTTGATATGCGTTTTGAAAAAATAGTGGGACTATTTTGTTTGTAAAATCCAGTTAAATTCGAAATTTGAAAATGTTTATTTTTATTATCAACATTGTGACCTAATGAATTGAATATATGTGACAATAATATTGTTTTTATTGTAAATATAGTTTTAAGTAATGACAAGAACGAAAAGATTTTCAATATGTAGACTATTATTTAAATGAAGTAAGAATATTAAACTGATTTAATAAACTATACTTTAAAATTTTCATAGTCTCAAAATCCAATTATTTTAATATATAATAATATATAATTTACTCTTAGTTCTTACCCTTAGATTGAAAAGCTAATAATATTAATAAAATGTCACTAGAGTATTAAACTAATATTTATTTTTCTATGCATAATTTATGTTTGCTATTTTTCTATTTATGTTAAATATTTATTGGTTAAAATCATTAATACTTGTAAGAAACCTTATCCTTTTATTTTCTTAAGTTATTTGAAATAGTATTATTTATAATTTATTACCTTATTATAAGTATTTACGTTGTTACAAGTTTAATTATGATATATAACTCATTTGAGTTTGTAAGATAATTATACTAACACTTTATTTATTTGAGATTTTTAAGTAAACTAACCAAGTTTAAACTATATTAGATAATTGGGCTCTAGAGTTTTAAAACTTACTTGAAAATATAAATGGACTAAGATCTTATCTATATAAAAGTTTATTTTTTTTCATAAAACGGATAATGTGTGTACTTTTGTTATTTGGTTATATGAGTCGCAACAAAACTATTGCCATTGTTTTAATTAATTAAGAAGAAGTATGCCACATTTATATAATTGCTTTTTGGAGAAATACATGAGTTCAAAATTATTAAAAGCACAACAAATTAATATTTAGACAAAATAAATACAACCTCAAGCAAAACAATTTATATGCTAATAAAATAATAACTTAACAAATTTAAAAAGCACAGGTTTAAATATATTATATTCTTGATAATTTTAAAATTACTCAAAAGAAACTAATTTATTAACAATTTAATATACAAATAAAACTAAAGCAATATTTTACAACGTCAAAATAGTAATTGAATAAAAAATATATTATGTTAATAAAAGAGATTTTAGATTTTAAAGACTTCTAATTCATGTAATACTACAAAATTCAAAATTTGTTTATGACAATTAATATTTTACCATTCGAGATATTAAAATAATATTCTAGATCGATATTCAATTTTGAGTTTTCAACTATTACACGTAAATATATTCTTAAGTATTTTAAATAGGTTATTAGAGTACTTTTTCTTTTCGTGAATTTATTCGAGATGATATTCCGATCTTTTAAACTAAGATAATTTATGTTCTATACATAATTATATTTCTTTTACATAACTCTAAATTCTCGAACTTGCTTTTTCATATTTTATTAATTAATTGTGTTACATATAATAGAGAAATATTTGACAATAGTATAAATATTATGGTATATTGAAGATAATTATATAACTAAATTATACATTACCACTAATGAATTATATTCAAATACTTACTTCAATTTAAAAATATAAAAAAATCAAATTTTAAAATTAGTTAAATATAATTTAATATACAAAATTCACATACAAATAAAATGATAAATGTAACAAATTCAAATATATATGATTTATGAAATTTGATTGTTACTGCTTTCAATGGTGTATATATATGTTACTTTGTCGTATTTATTTTTCCTGCAACTAATTGCCAAAAAAAAAGTATTGTTGGTATTAACTGTTTTTACCAGAATGCATTCAAGTACCTAACTCCCTTTTTCCAGTGGTCTTACATAATTGTCTCCAGTGGGATGTGGATATACTACAGATTCCAACAACATGGCGACTTGAACTCTGTCTGATAAACTGGTGAATAATCGTTGAAGAACACCGGCTATGGGAGAATTTTCGGTTGCTACCATTATATGTGCATTAGTTACTACTCAGGTTATACTGCAAAATGATTAGTTTCATAAGTTTCACCTTCTACATTGATATAAATAAATAAATATATATATATATGTGTGTAGAAAAAGAAGAGAAATAAGAAAAGCTTACAAGGATTGAGATGTTAAGGGTATAAAGCACTTCAAGAAATGAACGGCAAGAGCAGCATTTTGAAGTATTTGACGTAACACATTTTTATAATCTAGGGAGTATTCCTTATGTATTGCTATTAGATTACATTGATAAGATAAGAAATGTATTTCTTAATTTGCTGCACCAGTTCCAAAATTCTCAAAATTATAATTTTTTTTTGTTTTTTCTTTCAGATTCTAATGATTGGTTGTTATTTGAGTTACTTTTTTTTTGTACGAGTTATTGAGATATTATGATTTTCAGTATGGATGTTTAAAGGTTAATGACAAAATTCAGGGTGAGAATGGTTGTAAATAAGGTTTTAGTTCACCATTTTAACTTATGTTTCATTGTGTATAATCAAATTCATGATGAGAACGGTGACAAAGGTCGAATTTTGTAGCATAAGTACAGATGGCTGATCTCTAGCATAAGTACAGATGGCTGATCTCTTTGTCTTCTTTATATATTCGTAAAATTTCTATGGAAATATGATTAAAAGACAGTGTTTTTCTTTATTATTCTCTTTTCTAATACTTACACAAATTGTTTTATTCCCTACATGTTTCAGATTCTTATTTTATAGATTTTCGATCTCATATTTCTATTTTGACATGTGATTAATTCATAAATAGTGTTACTTGGACATCTTTCACGCAGATTGAGAAAATGAAAAAATATATTAATTAATATTTTTTTATTTATTATATAATTAATTAAATGAAAATAATTTAACTAATGTATATAGGTTATTTAAAATGGCAAGAGAGTGATTAAATAAGAATATTTATATTTGAAATATAGAGCCACACTTATTTTGAAACAAAAATTGATTTAATCTTTATGAACAGAGGTAAATAAATAATGTCATTGTTTCAAACTCATGTCTAACTCTAAATTTACACATTTCTAGCCTATTAATATAATATAGTTATGTAGATAAATTAAAGCAACAAATTAGTGATAAAGCAGTATGAGGAATTATACTAATCTTTGATGATGCAATTAAATAAAATATAAAATATTCTGAAATTTAGTAAGTAGAATTATGAAATAGTAATAACTTAATAAATAAAATGAATAAAAATAGATATCTAATATCAATATGCAAAAAAGTAAGATGAAAATAAACCATTAAGGATTTAAAAATGGAAAAATAAAGAGGAAATAAACAGACAAATTTATTACTTTGATAGTTCAATATATATGTGAACAAGTTTGAAGCAAATTGAATCTATTTGTTTTGCTACCAAAAAAATAATCTTGAAGCAAGTAATAAAAATAATTTATCAGATTTTGAAAACAAATTATTAATTATATTTTTACAAATATGTAAAATTTAAAATTAAACATCAATATATATATATATATATAATTAAAATCATATATTAAGGATCTTTGATATATCATGCATATTATAGTTTGTCTTTGCAAATGGTAAATAATACATTCTAACATCGTTTCACATATAATTCAAATCACCCAAGAAACCACAATAATTCCATTAAGAAAAATACATTCATATATGTTATGGCCAAACTTACAATCAAATGTTATGTCTCTAGCCACTTATAAACACATTCCTATTAGATAATTTCATAAATAAAATTTTTGTTTACTTATTTTAATTTCAAAACAGATTTTTTTTAAAAGTACATCCTAATGTTATTGGAAAAAATACACATCACAGAAAACTTTTACCAAAAAAATATAAAAAACAAACAAAAACTACAAACAAAAAAAAAATAATTTTGAACATTTCTTCATAAAAAATGGTTGAACAATAAATTTTAAACAATTTCAAAGCATATAAGAGTAAAAGAAAATTATCTTGATAACAATCACTAATCCAAACATATATAAAGGTTAATGAAAAATAAATTTCATTATCGTGTTTGATTTTGGCTAATTGACTTTTACAACAGTACAAAAAAATTATTATTTACCTCAACATTCGGAATAAAATATTATTCTTACTTTACCAAAGATTAATCACATTAATCCATTGAGAAGCTAATAAAAACATATATTATATAGAAAACTAATGTTACATTCACAAAGCAATAATATGTACCTTAAAAAAACTCAACCTATATACATTTTTTTTTTACTGTTTTAGACATTTTCTGATTGATGAATTCTAAATTCATTAAATTATTTTAAAAATATAAAAAAATAATAAATAATATAGAGAAACTATTTTGGTCTATTAATTGGTCAAAAATAAAAAGCATTTTCCGCGCGTAGTATGATGATGTACCGTCCGTTACTTCTAAACCGATATACTATTATAATAATTTTTTGAACATACTTATGCCCGGTCTCCTAGTAATTGTGTAATTAAGAAGACACAAACCTAATTCTTATCCAATATTGATTCAACACAAATCTAATCCATCGATGTCGTCCTCTCCGGAAAATAAGAAGAAGAAGAAGAAGCTGGAGCAACAGAACCCAACTCCAACACTTCCCGATGAAATACTCACAAGCTGCATCGCAAAACTCTCAAGCTTATACTACCCGACTCTCTCCCTCGTCTCCAAGAGCTTTCGATCTCTTCTCGCCTCACCGGAGCTATACAAAGCCCGATCACTCTCCGGACACACCGAGAGCTGTCTCTACCTTTGCCTAGAGTCATCTTCAGACTCTGGATGGTTCACCCCCTGCCGAAAACCTGATAAAAACAAAGATGACGTCAGCAAGAACAAGAACAAGAAGAGTTATGTTTTGTCCAAAGTCAAAACTCTCAGTTCTCCTCCCGCCGTGTTTTCGGGTCTTGTCTCCGTGGGTTCAGACATCTACAACATCGGATCCTCCTCTGACGTCTCGGTTCTGGACTGTCGGTCTCACACGTGGCGCGAAGCTCCGAGCGTGCCTGTGGAGCTCATGACGCTCTCTGCTTGCGTCGTTGGTGAGAAGGTATACGTGTCAGGGGTCCATGGCGAGTCGTTGAGGAACTCATGCGCGGTGTTGGACACGAGAACGCAAACGTGGGAACATGTCTCTTGCGGCCTGACGAGACGCGGCGGTTTGAAAATGAGAAATCGACGGGAAGCCACACGTGGCGAATGCGGAAGGTGTGGTTTGTTATGACTCAGAGGGAGGTAAGTGGAATGTTGTGGAAGCGAAGATGGGTTCGTTTAGGTTTTCGGATTCTCATTGTGTGGTAGAGAATGTTTTGTACTCTGTTTGTGATGGGAAGTTGAGATGGTATGATGGTGAGATGAACAAGTGGAGAATTTTGAAGGGTTTGGTCGGAAGACTGCCTAAGTTCTGTCATGGTGTTTCTGTTAGATTGTGTGATTATGGTGGTAAGATGGTTGTCGTGTGGGATGAGAACGTGATGTCTAGTGGTGAGAAGATGATTTGGTGTGCTGAGATTGCGCTTGAAAGGCGTGGGGTTTGGGAAATGTGGGGACAAGTTGAGTGGATTGATCATGTGCTTACAGTTCCTATAGGTTATTATATCGTCAAGCCTCTTACCGCTACCGTTTGATGAGCTTATGTCTATTTGCATTGTGTGAACTTATGGTATTTTGCAACTGTATTAACCCTTTTCATAATCACATAACCATTCTAGGGTTTATGATTTGAGTTTATATCAAGTGTGATAGTGTATGACTCTCAACATACAATATTGTAGATTGTATGTTTAGACTTTAGTAAATGTTGAACCAAAAAAAAGACTTTAGTGAATAAAGGACCAATGGGATTTGTAAATCTAACAATCAATGATTTAATACATAAATTGCACCCAACAAAAAGTTTAAATTGATAGGAAACTGAGCATCTCTACTGAACCATACAAACAAACATATATGAATATGTAAAAGAACTATAAAAATAAAAGAAAACGTTAAAATTTGCTGCTATAAAACGAATTTTTGTTCGTTGTGTGTTTCAACTAGAATCTCCCAAGAAAGAAACCTGTTTTTGAATGTTGTTCTTCATGTTGGAGGCAGCTTTTGGCCTCATCATCATCACTCCAAATCTCTGAGGCTTTCACTTGTCAACCACAGCTTCTTCTGGACAATGAATATGACATTGTCAGAGTCTTGTTCCGACTCTGAGGCTGCTTTGGTTTCAACTGCTTCCCAATGCAAAGCCTTAAGATACTTCTTCACAAGATCAACCACAGATTGTTTGTCCCTTATGAGTATGAAACCACTTGGACGAAGTATACGGTCCATCTCCAAGAGCAAATCCTCTGCGCTGCAACCTCTCTTCTTGATATCGGATATGATGTCCCAAGCATGGAGTAAATCATATGTCCTAGGGTAAGTTGAGAACGCTTCACACCTGCGATATAATCACATATGATCAACCATAAAGAAACATATATATGCAAACAGATTCTGATTAAGTGAAAAAGGTTAAAGGAGAAACTGACCAGCTATGAACAGCACCCATCAGGCCTCTGTCGTATATTAGCTTAAGCGTGTTGGGCCCATCTTCGGGAACAACGTTCATAACCCAGACATCTTTGTCATTCAGAGCAGCAGCAAAGGAACCTATGTTTGCTTTCATGTCCATTATGTTCCTCACAGTGTCTGATTGAATTTTAGGACTCAAGAGATCCCAATAAGCATCTACCCTCTTCCTCCAAGTTTCCTGTATGGGGGAAGCAATAAAATTAGATGACTACAGTTTCTATGTCACTGGAGCTTCAACTACATAAAAAATAAGAAACATACTGTATCCTTCTCAAACATGTCAGTGGAATATCCAAAATCAGCTAGCCGAGGAGGAGGAGAGGTTAATCGAGCTGGCCATGGAGCCAATCCACTTCCCTTGCTTTTGTGGTCATCTAATGGAAACACACAAAAAAAATGATCTCAGATATGCTTCTATTATAATAATGTTAAGAGGGCTAATGAAAACTTACGTTCACTGTATTGAGTAATGCAGGCTTCCATGTTTACACCATACACAGCATCAGGGTCACTATCAGAATTGCAAAGAGGAGGCTGTGTTCCAGGTTCTCTTCCCATATAACAATCGTTTGTCAAAGGTTTTTGCCAAATCACAGTTTGGTTCCTCTTAGCAGCTATCGTCCAACACATACGCCCAACAAGAGCACTCATCTCTCTCCAAATCCTAAGATCCTCCTCATCCTGTGCGTATGCCTCTGGAGATGAATATGCAAAATAGCCACCAGGTCTCAGCACCCTGTCTAGCTCGAGAAGAAGAATACCGTCTCTCTGAAGCCAGTCGATTCGGCAACGTGAACAATGCGCAAGCTCAAAGGATCTGCTTGGGTATGGGAGCCTCTTTGTCCCTAGAACGCCGAGGTATGCAGGAATCCCTCTCTCAAGAGCAAACTGAATCTGGTTCTGATGCACATCGTTTGGTGCCAAGGACATAGTCATAATATCTGATGCAAGAAGATAGCCTCCAAAACTTGCAACACCACAGCCAACATCAAGAAACGTCCTCAGCTTTCCCCCATTGTTCAACTTGTTGTTCGGAAACTTAAGCATCTGAAAATTTTCCAAAAATAGTATCAGCTCATCTCTATTCTGAACAAGAACTACTAGATAGAATCAGCCTTACATTAGCCATAGATGCAATGTACTTATCAGCACCATAGTGAAAATGTGTGCCTCCACCAGGGAAATTAATTTTATCTCCTTTAACAACCATCCAGTTTTGGTCAGACTTCTCATGTGCAAGGTGAGTGTGAGGAATGTTCACTTTCCAAACCTCATCTCTGCTTTTCGGCCACTTGATGGGAACCTACACACATTAAAACCAGCGTGAGACATTTACACACAAAAAAAAACATGTCAAGAAGACACTGAGATGTAAAAAAGCCCACCTTATAACCAGGAGGAGGAGGAATCAAGCAGTTAAAACGCCTTTCAGGAGGAGGACAATGGCGTTCATAATGCTCCATCAAAGACAAATCAAGTTTCAATCTCATTTGGTAAATGAGATTCCTGTCTAAGCAAGGAATAAGCTCCGAGTGCCGGTCATCACACACCTTTGCAAGAAAGAAAAAAAAAACATTATTCAACCACACTTTCTAATCATCTTAAAAAACTATTAAAAACACTCACAGGAAAGCTTCTTGGAGTGAAACCGTTGGCATCATCATCTACATAAAAGGAGGTGGAAGTGTCATCCTTTTTGGTAATATCATCATCATTATCATTATCACCACTCAAGCCAAGTTTCCTCCCATACTCAATAGCTGCTGAAGCCCCATTGTTAGAGGAGCCAAAGAAGAGATACACAGAAACAAGAACAACCGCTGCAACGCAGAGTAAAACAATCAGTGGCTTCTTCTTCTTCCCTCCATCTGATCTTCCCCTCATCGCCTTTTTGTTGTATTAGTGATGACTTTGAGAGAGATTCTACAAAACAGCAGTAATCAAGAATCATCAATAATCTGTTTTCCCAATCACATAAGCAAAAATCTAACATAAATTAATCGGTTAAAAAAAAAAAGAAAGATGAAATGTGATAACTTAATAAACAATGAAGTATTACTCTCTATAGACTAATGGATCTGAACAAGGGACTCGATCAGAATAGAAATTACAAAAATGGAAACTTAGTAGACCTAGTTCTGGAGAAGATTCAGAAAGTATGTCTTGGATTTTTGGAAGAGAAACAGATCAAGTTGGAGAGAGGGGAGAGGAGTGGAGTGAGATTCGGATCTGAGAATGTAATAAAGAGACTTCTTCTTCTTCTTGTTATTCTTCTTATCTCTTTTCCTTCTTCTTTTTGGTGGAAATGGGATTCGAAGCAGCAAAGCGGCAGAGTAGTCCGAGTGAAGATAGAAATAAAGAGTCAAGGTCATTTATTATTTAATTATCTCATTTGCATTGAATTTTTTTAGTTTGATCTTTTATTTTATTTTTCCTTAAATATTTGGTGTGTCGGTGACCTTTTTGTTTTCTGTAACATGAGTGAATATATATATATTTTTATTTGGTCATGTATTTGCCTCTGGATCTACGCTTTCTTTTGCATCCTCTAACAGTGAGTTGCTTTACTCGTATGGAAAATTTGATTAACACTTGTCCAAATCTGTTTTGGTTGACTTACCCCAATCTTATTATTTTTTCTTCTTATTCTTAAAAGAAACCCCAACTTATAATCCTTCTCCTACAAATGCTATAACCTATAACTTATTTGTACATTGTGTTAATTTTAAAAAAAAAAATCTTTTGCAGACTATGTGCAATTTAGTTATATTTCATTACATCATTTAAATCTGTCTCAGGTTTCAACCGAGTCTTATATCTATTATATTAAAATAGAAGTCATAACTCACTTCATGTGTGATTTTTTAGTTTGTACCATCATTAGAAATTTTATAAAAAATTACATAACATCATTATAATGTCTTTTCATATAATTTTTATTTTAAATACAAATAAATAGTTTCAAGAAAATTCTAACAAAATCTTTTAAAAGATCTTTTAGAATATTTTCAAGATATAGTTTCAAAAATTATTTAATTATAATTTTAATTATCATAAATATAATTAAAATTTTAATTCATTTTTATTTATAAAAAACAATTAAAATTATGTAAAATACTTTTAACAATATCCCAAAATTTTGTTTATGTATTATGTAGGTCAAAATTAATTTAGATTTTACATATATTTCAAATTTAGAAATAAAACAAAATATTAATTAGTAATGTTACAGAATAATATTTTTAAAAATTGTTAATAAAATATAAATTTATAAATTTTATATTAATAATATAATAAACCACATAAATATTATTATAAAATTAGATAGTATACAAAATCAAATAATTTTTATTTATTGATAAATTTTACTCCCTCTGTTTCTTAATATATGATGTGTTGGATCATTGCACAAAGATTAAGAAATTTACATTTTTTTAACAACATTATTTTTACATATATAATTTTAAAATCATTCAACCAATTATTACAAAAAAGTAAAATTTTATTAGTTGAACATTTTCCTATAAAGTTAAAAATAACCTTATACTATATTTTAAAATTTTAAAACAACTTATATTTTGAAACAAAATAAATCTTCTAAAACATCATCTAATTTGAAACGGAAGGAGTATTATATATTTTTAAATATCTTATATATTAAAACAGAAGTCATGACTTGACTTCATGTGTGATTTTTTAAAAAATGGACTATTACTAGAAAGTTATGTTATATTAACTCTCTAAGAATCTTATCATTATTATATCTTATTAAAAATCATATCTATAATAACAAAGATACGCTTAACAATTTGGTTTTGGTAATTACCCCACATCTTCCAACTTAGTCATGCAAAATATGTCAATAGATATAAGTTTATAAATCTTCTATTATTTATAAGGAAATATGTCAATAATAGTTAAATGCATCCACAATATACTAACAAAAATCACATATTAATAATATGGAATATTTATATACCCTAACAAAATTTACACGTTATATATATTAGATAAATTTATTTCGATGTAAAATTTTAAAATTATATTGTTTAAAAAAAATAAATTGTTTTGATAAAACTCTTTATAATATTAATTTATGAAGCTATAAGTTTAGTTTTTAGCAAAAATTTCTTTGAAATTTATATTATCTTTGCAAATTAAAGTATACTAATATTTAATCAAGCTCTATTTATACTACTTTATCTAAAAATGAAATAGTAATCTAACAAACAATAAAATATAGAAGAAGAAACAAACACATGTTTGAAAAACATGTATAATATAGAAAATTTGAAACAATTTATTTGATAAAAACACTTATTATATAATATTATTATGTATACATATCGTAAATATGTGATTACTATAATATATACCAATTTACAACTAAAAACAAAATGTTTATATAACTAACTATAAACGAAAACAAATACTCGCGCGGTTGCACGGGTCAAAATCTAGTTTTTGTATTAAAATACCCGCACGGTTGTGCGGGTCGAGATCTAGTTAATTTTAAAAAAGTTATTGTTCAGAATGTGTGCTAAAAAGCCCCTTCCTTATAATGGGCCTTCAAAAATATAAGGGAGAATGAAACTAGTCCAACCAGCGAAATTCCAAGGAAGAAAGACAAGAATAGATCTGGGTATTCGGAGTTCCAATCAAGTTTTGGTTTCTCCAATCAGATCTCAGTTTTTCTGATTTAGCAAAATTAATCTTATTCAGATTATTTGAAAGCTCGGTTTGGAATCGGTTCTGATTCTATCAAGTTCGGGTCAGGGTTAATAAATCTGTAAAGAATTTGTATAACCCGTTATACTTTTGGATTTGGGACCCAATCAGTACTTTGGTTTAAAAATACATGATTTGTACCTACTTTGTAACCAAAACATAAATAAAATCGGTTCTTTAGATTTGAAGTACCTGACGTATAACTATTTTGTAACCAAAACAGAAGTAAAATTGATTTAACAATAAGAAAGGAACATCAAATCAAAATCAAATGAAAGGTAAATATAGTTATTAATAGAAATAAAATCAAATAAATAAAAACATAAAATGAAAACCAAGTTCTTAAAAAATGAGAAACATTATTCAATAAAAACAAAACTTTAATCTAAAAATTTCAAGTTTCAACCGCCACCTTCGACCATCAACCTTCATGTAAGATCTTAAAGTATTTTGGATATATATTAGGAATTAAGATCATACTCGGTACACGTTCTTATCAAAAAAAAATTGAATGTTTCGGATTCTAACAGATATTCATTTAATTTTGAGTTCGGTTCAGATAATACACATAACTCGAAATACCATAAAATAAGATCCATTTATTTTTAAGTCGGGTTCGAATTTATTTTTATCGAATCGAATTTGGTTCGGGTTTTCGGATTCGGTTTATTTGTCTAGTCCTAGACGAGATCATGTAACGGCGGATAATATTCCACGTGTCTAACACTGAATGGAGCAAAGACAATGCTCTTAGGCATAATATGTGTTTAGGCCTTCAGGTCTTCGGGTTGGGCTAGGTTCAGATCGTTTCTATCGAATTTTAGACCCAAACTAAATACTCAAAAAATTTAGATTCATATTCGAGTCGGTATCTCAATAAATTAGAGTTTATAATTAAAATACTTGTAAAATTTTGAAAATAAATTGAACCTATTTCCAATCCGAGTATTTTGTGTCTATTTTAACATTTTAGCCAAAATTCTATCCAATTTTGTATCATACCTAATAAAAAATTGAAATAATTAGTATTAAACTAATGATAGCCAAATTTAAACAAAAAAATGGGTCTAGGTTTTTGGGACCAAAAATAGTAAATATTTTTTCTGATATACCATATTGGTTGATCAAGGTCGACCATAGAAAAAAAAACATATTCTATGCTATAGAGGAGAATCAAACCTAAAACTAATGTAGATATAGAACAAGCTCCAAGAAAATACTAATAGACATTACCATCAGTTGATTAATATAGTATAATAAATGTTTAAAAACAAAATGTTTTCTTGGTAATATCGGTGTCTATCCAATACTTTTATTTTTTCTTAATACTCTAAGTTTATTTAAAATTTTATGTATATATTATTCCTATAATTTTTTTATAGTTCTCTATATATAATTAAAATTATCATTTAAATTCCGGACCAACTCTAGATAATATTTCATGTTATCTGGATCATTCATAGTGCTTATTATGGTATCAGCATGAATCATTAACTTTCGACGTAGATATGTTCTAGTTTCTTTTTTCTTTTTTTTTTGTTCAATCTAATCTATAAACTTTAAGGCACTACTGTCGAGGTTTTTCAAGCTAAATTTCTCAAAATATAAATATAAAATATATTAATATAAATATAAAATATATTTGTAAAGTTACATAACTAACGTAAAACTTTAACATGAATTTCCTTAAGTTTTTGAAAACTATTTATATATTAATATAATTTATGAAAAATTCAGTTCACAAAATCACACTAACTATGTTCAAGATGAACAAACTCTCAACGCTTTCTGGAAACACTAGTTGTCTAGTTCATTTGCCTTTGTTAAAGTGACCATATAGTTATAATCTCATTTTCTAATGTCCAGAAACAAGAAACATAGTGGGGGCTTTAATTAAAAGCATCTAATGTAGAACGCAATCAAATGCTAAATGAAATCAAGAATTGCCGATACAATAAAATATATTTTTAAATAATAATACAGAAAGAAAAGACTATTGTAACAAGGACAAAGAAACTGAATGATTTGCCAATTCCCTACCAAATTAGGACGCTACGAAGGAAGGCAAACACAGAGCGTGGTGAAAAGACACGAATACCATTTGATTCTGCAAATCTTCTTTTGTCACGTCTTGTCAAACTACAATAATATTCGACTTAAATCATCCCAAACTTTCTATAGTATCTGGTTCGACCAATTGAAGGGGTCGATTAATTATGAAGCTTCACATGCACCGATTCATGCATTTGGATCCGTTTATAGAGAGAGATTAATGTCACAAAAACATTAGCACTTTGTATAATAGAATACATGTATGCATTACTCATATACTTTATAGAGCTTAAGTTTTCAAATAACAGGATCTTCATCAGAACTTATTTAGTGGAAAATAAAATATAAACCATTGTATACAATAATGTTGCATGTATTGAAAATATAGTAAAACATGGTTGATGGGAGACCAGAAAGAAAAATACATGTTTATTCAATACAACATAACATTCTTTAGGTTTTCCAAATAAAAGGATTAGGAAGACTGGCATACAACTTTTTAGGTAAGTCTTGCATGTGCATGTTCGTCAACGTAGTTGACTGAAACATCTTACTGATATGACATATTGCTAATTAGGG